TGATAGCCGCAGAAGAATTGCCAGTAATAATGATGTCATCAACATAAAGTAATAAATAAATGACATTATTATTCTGACGAAAAATAAACAATGAATTATCAGACTTGCTGCATGTGAAATGATGAGAAAGTAGAAATCTACTAAACCTATGAAACCATGCCCGCGAGGCTTGCTTGAGCCCATAAATGGCTTTTCGCAAACGACATAAATGATTAGGAAATGAGGGATGAATAAAGCCCCGCGGTTGACGCATATATACCTCCTCAGTTAGATGACCATGCAAAAAGGCATTTTTAATGTCCAACTGATGAATAACTCATCCAAGAGAAATAGCAAGAGTAAGAACAATACGAACTGTGGTGGGTTTAATAACCGGATTAAAAGTTTCAGAGAAATCTACACCTGCCTGTTGATTAAACCCCTGAGCAACTAATCGAGCTTTGTGACGCTCATTAGAACCATCAGAATTATACTTAGTCTTATAAATCCACTTAGAGTCCACAACATTTTTAGTGTGATCAAACGGAACTAAATCCCAAGTATTATTAGAAATAAGAGCATTAAATTCCTCCGCCATTGCCTCACGCCATTTTAACTGTTTGTTAGCCTCTGAATAACAAGTTGGATCGGCTGATAAAACAACTGTGTTTAAATTAAAAATCATTTTGGGTTTGAAAATGTCCGACTTAGCCCGAGTTTGCATTGGGTGACAATTAGCCAGTGGACCAGAGGAAGATGTATCTGGTGCACTGGCCGGTAGCTGCAGTTGCACACTTGGAGCATTATCAGGATGGGTGAAGACTTCTTCAGGCGCATCTGATTTGGGGGAAGGAGTTGCAGACCGAGAGACAGGTAAGGGAGTGCCTGGAGGTGGAGTCGGGTGAGGGCTTGGTATTGATGGGGTTCGGCAATTATGATTTGGTGTGGAGGGAGGTGTTTGAGCATTGGTTTGCCCTGGTGAAGTAGGAAGAGCTGAGGGCGTGGGGATTGTATTGAAGTGCTCAGTGGGTGATGGAAGAGATATGGTGGGGGCTGGAGGCATAGAGTGAGGTGTGGTATTGATAAGGGTAAAATCGTCGGGAATAGATGAAGAAGATGGAGATTCATGACCCGTAGACGAAGACAAAGTGGCATATGGAAAAATATTTTCATGAAAACGAACATGCCTGCTAATAAAAACCTTGCCAGATTTGGGGTCAAGACAACGATATCCCTTAAAACCAGATGCATAGCCAAGAAAAACACACTGAACAGAACGTGGTGACAATTTGTTGGAAGAAGAAGCAGAAAAATTCGGATAACAAGCACACCCAAAAACACGAAGCAAACTATAGTCACGAATTTTGTGAAATAGTTTTTCATATGGTGAAGCACCAAAAAGAGTAGGAGAGGGTAGTCTGTTAATAAAATAGACACCCGTAAAAATAGCATCCACCCAAAAAGTATTAGGAATTGAAGTTGTAATAAGCATAGTCCGAGCAAGTTCAAAAAGATGGCGACGTTTAAGTTCAGCAACACCATTTTGTTGCGGAGTATAAGGGCAAGATTTTTGAAAATAAATACCATTTTCGGCCAAAAATTGTTGCATAGAAGAATTAACGAACTCATCCCCTCCATCACTCTGAAAAACTTTAATTTTTAGAATTAAATAAATTCTCAACTAAAAGTTTAAAGAGACGAAATTGAGTAAAGACCTCATGTTTGGTGCGCAATGGGTAAATCCAAGTAAAGCGAGAGAAGTCATCAATAAAGCACACATAATATTTAAAACCTAAATTAGATAAAACTGGAGATTGGCACACATCAGAATGAATTAACTGTAATGGAGAAGTAGAATTATGACTAGCATCTGAAAAGGGTAATCGCTGAGATTTACCCAAACGACAAGAGACACAATCATGTTCAAAATTTGAGAATGAGAAATAAGTTTTCTACCACGCAACAGGCGTAAAACAGATTCGCCACAATGTCCTAATCTACGGTGCCACACAGGGCAAGAAGTAATAGCGGAAGCAAGAGCTAATGGTGGAGGAGGATTGAGGCTGATTGGGTAGAGATGACCATTATGACGCGCCTGAAGAAGAACTACCCCCGAAATTTTGTCCTTAACAACAAAAGAGTTTTTATCAAAAATAGCAATGCAGTTGTTATCAGCACACAATTTTTGAATAGAAATTAAATTGAATTTAATTTGAGGCACATGAAAAACAGAGTTTAATGACAACGGGCGGCCAGGAGTATTTAATGTAATATTACCAATATTAGCTATGGGAAGTTTAATGCCATTTGCAACACTAACAGACATGGAGTCAAAATAAGGGGATTTATTTGACAAAATACCTTCAGACGAGGTCATGTGACCAGAAGCTCCGGAATCCGGATACCACAAAGCATCATTAGTTTCCCCAGTTGGAGCAATCAAGGTAGGTGTAGCAGACTGTGAAAAGCGAGACGGACAGTGTAATGCAGAATGACCTGCAGAGAAACAAATTTGACACACAACCGGGGATGGAACTGACCCAAGAATACCCTCAGCGGATGGGAAACCTGCATAATGTGAGTAAGTACCAGAAGTAGATTTAGCATTAATATTTAAAATGGACAAGACAGAATTACCAGACGGAGCATTAGTGGGTCTCGGGTTGTACACACCCCTTGCGGCCGAGTGCTGGGGTGGTGGCCGAATAACTGGCTGCTGCTGCTGTGGGTATCCCGGCTGGCCATAGGGCTGCTGCTGGAATCGACCTCATCCACGGCCTGGCCTGCCACGGCCGCCTCTGCTGCGGCCTCCTCTGCCGCGGTATGCGCCCTGTCCGGGCTGCTGTCCCTGTGGACTGTGGGGTTGGCAGTGAGCCACATGAGCCCCAAACGCTGGTTGCAATGAGAAAGCCTCCTCCTGGAGATGTAGTACTTGTTGTTCGGCTTCCATGAGCCGTGGGTGAAGGATATCGGGTGGAAAACTTTCAGGAAATAATTGCATGGTTCCCGTAACAAATTGATATTCAGGCCCCAATCCACAAAGTGTGCTTTCTAGTAATTCCTTATTAGTCACAAGTGAGTTTATGTCAGCTAAAGCATCAGACAATTTTTTTATATCAAGTAAATAATGCTCCATAGACTGATTTGGCTTCTTTTTAGTATTGGACAATAATCGTTTGAGTTCCATAGTTCTAGGTAAACTGGCAGACATAAAGCGTGATTGTAACCGTGCCCATATACCAAAGGAATGTTTAATATCATGAACATCAGTTAATACATCCCGAGTAAGAGTGACAAACAACCAAGAGCAGATTGTTTGATCCACCCGAAGCCAATGATAGTAATCAGTATTAACGATGCGCTGATTATTAAAATTCAAAGTGTACATGGGAGGTACCTGAATTGTACCCTGTGACACGAGGAATGACTCGAACTGCGTCCGCCATGTAAGGTAGTCTTCCACCATTTTAAGCTTAATAGTCACAATCTGGCTGACATTGGCAATGCCGTGTGAAAGTGATTGTGCCATTGCTGCCATCGGGGAACCAAAAAGGGGATTATCATGTGCGGGACGAACTACACCCGGTGAACCAGCAAAAGAGGGCCCGAAATAGGGAGTGCTGACGGGTTGCTGATTCGGTGCCGCCGGAGGAATGACCGGCTGCAGCTGCAAAGGTGAGGCGACCAGGGAAGAAACTGAACCAGGTTGCTGCCACATAACCTGGGGTCGTGGCTCTGGATTTGCTGGAGGTAGACCAAAACCAATCTGCTGCCATGGAAGGTGTGGCGGCAAGGTTTCGAAAAGAGAGTATGATGATCCGGCAGAATACGGATGAGGGTCCGATGCCATGGAAACTGAATAGGGCACCAGTTGAGAGGCTTCCAGAGCAGTAGCGGTTACGATTGACGAAGAGAAGGTGTCAATCGCACCAGTGGTGGGTGTGTCCGTAGCAGAAGAAAGAGGCGAGGACTCACCGGAAGAGATGATCGGTGCCATGGAGGAGTGCGGCTACGACATGGCTGCGTCGAACGTGAAAGAGAGGGAAAAAATAGGGTTTTTTTTCTTAGGCTCTGATACCATGTGAAATAACGGGGAAAGGTACTCCAATAGGAGCCCTGGATGTCTATTTATAATAAAAGAGTTTAATACAGAGTATGAAACAAATCTTCATAATAATATTCTAGGGAACAAATCTTCCTAATAATATTCTATTAAAATTAAAGCTAATATCTGGATTAAGGGTTATGGTGTGAATATGCGCAACATCTCCCAACTTTAGGAAATGTTCACAATGTGCAATATGTGCTCTCATCTTTATATGAGGGTACGATAAGAAAATAGGTTGTAACAGCTTTATAGGGTAGCCTATTATACAGTGAGGGGTGTAGTCTAATTTTGGGCCTCCTTGTGGGGTGTTTTACCGAAATACGGGAAAAGGGGGTTGGGGTTGCCAAAATACGGGGACTTTCCTAGGGTTTACCAAAATATGGGAGTCGGAATACCCAGTTCCGACTAGGGATAGGGTTTCTGAAAAAACAACTCTCCCTCCTGTCGGATTAGGGACTTCCGACTAGGAGGTTTTTTTATTTGTTTTTTCTTGCGCCATTCTTAATTTAGGACACTAAATTGTTGGATTTACTTTTTGTTTTGTTTTTTTTTGTCGGATTAGGGACTTCCGATTACATACCTCTCCTCAATTTTTTTAATTTTCTTTTTGAGTTTTAAAAACTAAAAGTTTTAAATGCTAGGGCTAAATTTTATCCATTCCAAATTTAAAAGTTTTTTTTAGATTTCTAGCATATTTTTTAGAATGAAAACTTAGCATTTTGATTTTTTGAGTAACAAAACATTTGATTGCTTTATATTGTTTTTTAATCCATTTGTATTGTGAATTTTGTTTTAATTGCAATTTTTGTAATTTTAAGTACGATTTTGATTTAATTCATTCATCAAGTGAGATACAAATTTGATTTTGTTTTAAGTGCAATTTTTGTAACTTTAATGGAAGTGAAAAAAACAAATGTAGTTTTCAATGTAATTTATTAATGAATAGACAGTACATACAATATTAAATTTAATACTACATCTAACGTTGCGTGCTCGGCCCTGCTCCGTCCCCACCGCGAGTGTTCCAAGGCCCCGTTGTGTCTCCATAGTAAAATGACGAATCCAAAAATGAATCAACATAATCACCCGCTTGCGTTGAGTACTGATAAGAATCATAATACGGCGGTGGTTGATCAAATGAGACACCTTGATGTGTTGAGAATTGAGGGGGTGGTTGATCAAATGAGACACCCTGACGTGTTGAGAATTGAGGAGGCGATTGTGAGTGCTCACCCCCACCTTCATGTTCATCTGCATCATCCTCTTCGTCACTTCCACCTTCATCTTCATCTTCATAATGGAATATGCCCCGGCGGAGCATCTCTTCATCACCTACGTCCAGGGCCATCCGCTGTAGTCGTTTTTGACAGTCCTCATGACTTGCGCGGTCGGCTAAGAGCTGATTCAGTTAGTAAAAAGCCATGCCTCTGCATAAAAATGTAACACGTGTAAATAATATTACATGATATATGTTAATGAATATAGTATGTATTCAAAAACTTACCACAATATCCCAATCGTGTGATGTCGGGATGTAGCCTGTCGTGGGCACATTGTGAGAAGGGTTCTGGACACGTGTCATACCATGCTTCTGGTACCATTTTCGGTACCTCTTAGTTGCTTCGACGGACATATGTCGATCATAATCAAGAAAGTATATATTATGTTGTATGTCCGCCGACAACGCCAAGGCACCGGTTACTATGTTGGAACGATTGCCGTGATGATCAGTACCCGCCAAAGGAGCATCCGGAGTATCTTGCCTTATATGGAACTGCCGAAGAAATCGATCGGGGTAATGCATTTCGGCCATATTGCAAAATATGAGCATGACCCTAGCCGACCAAAGTGGAGCGTCATTAAGGATGATAGGTGGGAGTTCCTCGGACGCGTAGGGAGTGAAATCAAACTGTAAAAATTTTAATTTGCAATTTAACCACTATAAAACAATGTGTATTAAAAATTGAATAGTACGGTGGAAGTAAAAATTTCAAGTACTACCTGACTCTCACTCATGCGGTCTAGGTCATCCCGGTACAGGCGTATGCAGTGTCTTGGGGATCCCTTATATGACTTGGGACGATCCACCTACATTTATTTATTACCGAAATGAATTTAAAAACTCTAACGTCATATAACGCATTCTCAATTATTAAGATGTAATTGCCAACATACATGCACCCATATGGAAGATGGTCATGTTGAATGACCTAAACTACTGAGGGACGGACCATTGAAATCCTCGACCAAGCCCAAATCTGTAACAAGTGCATACAACCGCCAACTTGTTTGGTTTCCCACTTGGTGCCGTGGCACAAGTTATGGTAGAGGTACCCGAGAACCGCTGATCCCCAACTTCATCGACGGGCTAAAGCCAAGTCACCCGGCAAGACCTCCAAAAAGTATAATCGTATTCTTGTCCCACTCGTGTCAGGGAACAAAAGGCCTCCAAGCAATTGCCATATTAGGGTTCTGGTGTGTTCGGTGACCTCTTCGTCTGTACTGTCAGGTAGGATCTGGTGACGGGTAAGAGCACTCATGGTGATATCACTCGTGCTCATATCAGTCTCTAGAGGAGTGAAACCACACGACTGCGTGCACAGGTCGATCCACTGAGCCTTACCCTTAACGGTTGGACCACTGAGGGGCATACCCCGAATGGACAAACCAAGGATCATCGCCACATCTTGTAGACTAATGTCGACCTCACCGAATGGAAGATGGAAAGTATGTGTCTCCGACCTCCATCTCTCCACCAAAGCGCATATTAAACTATGATCCACCTTCATACGGGCAATGTGCTCTACCCCAAGAAGCCAGCATATGCTAACATACCTATCACTCTTGGATCTCGCTCTTCAACTCCGAATGCAGCTGAAGGGCAACTGACGCATTTCAAACACGAGTCTTTGGAATTTGGTTCATACCATATACGGTCCGAAAATTAACTAACCAGGAAATTTGGCTGATCACAAAGGTTTGATTTGCTAGTAGGTGCTCTTGCTTGGGATTCATTAGTGAAGCAGATGATTATCTAGAGTACTCCATACCTCTCATAGCTAAGTACAACTCTAAACTTCCGATTTCACAATGTAGAGTAAAATTCTAAATTCACAATCTAAATTAAAATCTTAAAAGTTACCAAAATAACTAGTAATTTTGAAATTCGAAATAACTATAATTGCGAAATTAAAATCTTAAATTCGACTATTTAAATTTAACGCAATTTCTAAACATCTACAATTTCAACTATTATAAATAATTAAAAGTTAAAATTAAAGAGTAAAATTCGAATTTCACAATGTAAATTAAAAAATTTACAAATTACTAAATTAACTACTTCTACACTCCTAAAACCGAAATTTAAGGGAAATTCTAAATGTTACACACTTTCTAACTTTCAAGTATTTTATAGCTAAATGTTACTCTAAAAGTCCAATTTCACAATCTAAATTAAAAAATTTATAAATTACTAAATTAACTACTTCTACACTTCTAAAACCGAAAATTAACTAACCTGGAAATTTGGCTGATCACAAAGGTTTGATTTGTTAGTAGGTGCTCTTGCTTGGGATTCTTGAGTGGGGATTCTTAATCACAAATTTGGCTCGGCTCTATTTGTAAAAAAAAATTTAGTTAGGAGTTCTTGAGTGGTCCACACTTCTATTAAATAAAAGTTGGTATTGAGTTGGAGCAATGAGCAGTACGATCCATTAAATAAAAGTTGGTATTGAGTTGGAGCAATGAGCAGTACGATCCATTAAATAAAAGTTGGTATTGAGTAATGATAGTGGTCCGCACTTCTTCTTCTTTTACTTGAACCGTGTGATAGCTGATAAAGTTAGGATACTTTAATTAGTCTAGGTAGGAGTGTAGGAGTATTTAATTTTGTGGAGGTGGGATATTGAATTTTCGGTCAGGAGTTTGTATAGGTTCAGGAATTTTCGACTCTAGCTGGACCGTGGGATAGTGATCCGGGCTATTCTTCTTTTATTTGGAACCGTCGGATAGTCTTTTGTGTTTGTTTACTTTAAATGGAACCGGGCTATTCTTCTTTTAGCTGGACCGTGGGTCAGATTTTATCTGATTATATTTTATCTGTTATATTTTATCTGATTAGTTTTATCTAATGATATTTATTTGATTATATTTTATTTGATTATATTTTATCAGATTAATTTTATCTGATTATATTTAAGTGATTATATTTATGTGATTAAATTTTATGCGAATCCGAATATGGTTGGATAGAATATCCGAATATGGTTGGACGCTACGTAAACACTCATCTTCTCTACATAATAAGGCAAGTTTTTCTAATTTAAAACTTCAGATACAATGAAAAAGAGAACAAATATTTCATTAGTACAAAAAATCCAACAAGGTATACATTACAATATTACTCATGTCCTCTCCTTGTAGCACGCAAATCCATTTCATTAGGGAATCGAGTTCTCTGTGGCCTACCGGCTCTAGCCGATCTATTGTTTGGGGGCGGGAGAAGTGTATGCGATGTTTCTGCCATGAAATTGAGGTAATTATTAATAGGCATAATATCGGAAGCGTACGTTCGGATGTAAGCATTTAAAGAATACACAGCTGGGATGAGGCTGTCTACGGTTATTTTTAAAAACCGACAAACCGCATACACGTGAACACATGGCATCCCGTTCTGCTTCCAATACTCACACCCACATTCCTGCCTTGTCAGATCGATTGTCACTGGATCATGCGAACCAATAGCTACAGAGTAAATTCCCGTTGTTCGATTGTGCGGGACAATAGTTGTGTGATACCTACGTTGTGACCGCTCAAGAACATCCTTCTATATGTTCTGTGGATACAAGAATCTAGCTTGGTGCCACATTATTCCCGCATTTCGTCGATCGGCAAATAGTTGGATGACTTTATCGAATGTGGCCTTTACTAGTGCTGTGATAGGCAATGTGCGGCATCCCTTTAAGACATTGTTAAAACTTTCAGAAAGGTTTGTCGTCAAAATGTCATATCTTTTGCCATCGTCATAGCTCAGGGCCCACATCTCAACAGGAATCTCATTCAAATATAGAAAAGCACTCTCATTTATGTCTCGTATTTGTTCCATACAGTCGTGAAATTCCTGTTCTGTGGGAGTGCTACCAGCTTGCCAACATAATTTTTTCAGTTCCGCGTTCCTAAACTTGGTCATGAAATTACTCTGTATGTGACGAAGCCAATAACGCTTTGAAACTTGTGGCGATCTCAACTCTCGCAAGGCTCTAAATGCACTTTCAATTCCTGCATGACGATCAGAGATAATGCACACACTACGGTGATTTCCAACCACATCACGCATAACCCTTGCAAAGAACCACGACCAGTTGTCAGCATTCTCACTCTCAACAACAGCATATGCAAGAGGAAATATCTCACGGTTAGCATTCATGGCTACCGCAACTAGAAGAACTCCCTTGTATTTGCCATATAAGTGAGTGCCATCAACCGAGACTACGGGTAAGCAAAATCTAAAACCGTCTATAGAAGCCTTGAATGACCAGAACACTCGGCGGAATTCAGACGTATCAGGAGTGCCGGCATGTTGTGATTGCAAATGAACAACAGTCCCCGGATTTGAAAACTGTATAGCTTCCAACAACATAGGAATTTCATTATATGATGCCTCCCAATTGCCGAATTTACGCTCCAGAGCGATCAAGTGTCCATTCCAAGCTTTTTTATATGAAACACGGATATTAAATTTTTCATATATGTCTGACATTATCAGTTTAATGCTGTAGTCCGGGTCGACTTTCACTTTTGGAGCGATTTCACTGGCTATAATTTTGGTCGTTAGGAGCCTGTCATCCCGAGCCATGACAGGATCCTCCCTACAACTGTGATGGGGTTGATATTTTTTTACTTTCCACTTTTTTGACGTCATACCTTCTCCTGCTTGGATATGCCAAGTGCAAAGGGTCGGGTCTATGCAAACCGCCTTCCAGGACCGTGGCCTTTTGTCAACCGTTCTGAATTGACGAAATTGACGAATGTTTTCTCTCGCCACCGCTTCTTTCAGTGCATCATATGAACAGTAAATTGCGCCTACTTCGATCCTTTCAGGCTCAGAATCTACTGCTTGAACATATGGTTCTTCTAGCTCCACATTAGCCCAGGTGGTGTCTACTGCGTCGTCACTATCATCGCTCGTGGATGAATCGACATCACTACTAAAACCTTGTTCATAGTCTGAGTCGTCCGACTCTTCACCCAAGTTTGTGACTGTACAAAGTAGATACATTCATAAATTTCAATATTATTATTTGGGACAAATTATTAATTTAACACAATTCTTGAATTTCTAGAATTGAACACAATTCCTTGTAACACACTATCTAAAATAAAATAAAATTATGGTTTGAATTTTTTGGTTTTAATTTATCGGAATATATAAAATTTTTAAGTTTATTTGAAGTATAAAATCTTTTTGTGCTCTGGTCGGATTTGGGTGTTCCGACAGGAGATTTGAAATTTTATGTGATATATAAAAATTTTAAGTTTATTTGAATAATAAAAACTTTTTGTGCTCTGGTCGGATTTGGGTGTTCCGACAGGAGATAAAATTTTAAAATTTTTTAAAATTCCACTTCCACTTCCGGTTATTTCATTTATTTGAACTAGAATGTGTTTCTTGTGTAATTAGGTAGAAGTATTGAATTTGTGCAGATGTGACGGATAGATAGCCAATTTTTACTCTAAAATTCCTATTTAACAATCTAAATTAAAAAAATTACAAATTACTAAATCAACTACTTCTACACTCTTAAAATGACAACAAATAAAACCAAATCATTGTAAATTCTATTTAACTTGAACAACACATACCAGGAGATTCGTAGTTCTGAAACGTTGGGCGGTTGTTCCTCCGACCATATACGGACGATGGGCCTTCCTCTCTGGGAGTTCCGTGGAACGTCAAAGTTTGTGGCGGGGTCGCTGAAGCTTCCACGTAAATGTGCAACTCCTCATACTCATTTTTAGCGATCCGGAAAAAATGACGCCATGTCTGCTCATCGTGAATGGGCCATAGTCTAGAAGCAACATATACAGAATTCTTATATTTTGGCAATTTTCCGTAAATTAATTTAATTTCGAAAAACCCGTCGCCTCTAACATGATTTAGAACATTCTCGTGTATAGTAGTATAATCATCTGCTTCACTAATGAATAGTACCACCCTAGGAGGTATGGAGTACTCTATTTCATCATCTTTTTGAGATGTAGAGTCATTCCAATGAACCATAACAACAATATTTCCCTCACTAGACATTTTTATATGAGAGGAGAATGCCTAAACAGAAAATGTAATAAATATATCAAGAGAGAAAGAAGGATTTTTTTTGGAGTGAAAATTTTGAAAAGAAATGAACTCAATTTATAGGAGCTATTGGGGTACGGTGACCATATAAATCCAGTTGGTAGAATAAAGGAATACAAATAAAACACGTAGTGCAAACAATAAAATTAAAACAAAACTCCTGGTCAGATTTCCAAATTCTGACCGAGTATTAATTAATTTAGAACCAAAAGCCCCGCTTTTTGGTAAAAAACTCCCAAATATACGAGTCGGTTGGTAAAATGTTCGAACCACAATTAAACACGTTATTTTTTAAAAAATATGTCAAAATACCCTAGTCGGATTTCCCAATTCCGACTAGGTTTTTAATAAATTTTATCCGCTTTAACCCATTGTTTTAAAAAAAAAATCAAAAATACCCTAGTCGGATTCCCCAATTCCGACTAGGTTTTTTTAATTAAATTGGCATTTACCTCTAGTCGGATTGCCCAATTCCGACTAGGATTTCAACCCTAATTCGGGACTTCTCCTCCAGTCGGAATTGCCAATTCCAGACGGGAGATTCCCGTAATTTGGTAATTTTCTCCTCCTTGTGTACCCTAGAGTATGTGGGGCATGGGCATGAACCCATATACTCTATCGTCAGGTTTTGCACGTGGATTAATAAATTGGAAATTGTGTGACGGAGAGTTTTGTAGAGGAAAAAGAAACATGTAAGAAATATTGTGAACCACAAATTATTTACAAAAAATGAAAATGGGAGATTATTTAGCAGTTAGGCTATGTTTGTCAAGTCATTTTGGCTCATAATGAGCTGAATTAATCTGTTAGCAAAGCTAGCACTCCGGTACGTCACCCCTTCAGGCTAGAATTTCTCGCTTGGTTTCGTCATTGCTCTCATCCCATCGGTTCAGATTTTATATTCACTTGGTCAACCTCTGTAATCGGCCGTCGAATGGGCAACAGGTTCTGTAGAACTAAGGAGAGGCAAAAATGTAAAATTCTTGCAGCAAAGGATGTTTGTCGATTACGCAGCAAGAGAAAACGAACGGTAAAAGAAAGGGAAAGTTCTCGATAGGACTAAAATAGTTTGAAAATTGTAAAATAGGACTATCATGTTTTTTATTCCCAAAATAGGACTAATTACTGCCATGTTTTGGCAGTATCAGACTTCAAACATGACAGTATTTTCTAAACATGTCAGTAATTAGTCATATTTTGAAAATAAAAACATAACAGTCCTATTTTGGAA